GGGGAGGGCGTGGCCCCCCCTCTGCCATTGGACCTCCAAATTTGGGGGGTAGAAGCCCCGGACGAGGCAGGTCAGGCTGAGGGTGGGGGAGGGGCCCGAGAGCTCGGCCTGGGGCGGGGGGAGGAGGAAGATGCTGGGGGGGAGGCGGCGACCTGGGGGGGGAAAGAAAGGGTTAAAATTGGGTTAAAAAGGGTTAAAATTGGTTAAAATTGGGTGTAAATTGGGGTTAAAATTGGGTGTAGATTGGGTGTAAATTGAGTGTAAATTGGGGTTAAAATTGGGTGTAGATTGGGTGTAAATTGGGTGTTAATTGGGTGTTAATTCGGTCTGAATTGGGGGAAAATGGGGTGTAAATTGGACCTAAAATGGACCTAAATTGGGTGTAAATTGTGTGTAAATTGGGTGTTAATTGGGTGGAAATTTGGGGGAAAATGGGGTGTAAATTGGGTCTAAAAATGGGGTGTCGATTGGGTGTAGATTGGGTGTAAATTTGGGCGTAAATTGGGGTTAAAATTGGGTGTAGATTGGGTGTAAATTTGGTGTAAATTGGGTGTAAATTGAGTCTCAATTTGGTGTAAATTGGGTGTAAATTGGGTTTGAAATGGGGGAGAATGGGGTGTCGATTGGGTGTAAATTGGGTGTAAATTGGGTCTAAAAACTGGGTGTCGATTGGGTGTAAATTGGGTGTAAATTGGGTCTAAAAACTGGGTGTAAATTGGGTGTAAATTGGGTCTGAATTGGGTGTAAATTGGGTCTAAAAACTGGGTGTAAATTGGGTGTAAATGGGGTGTAAATTGGGGGAGAAATGGGGTGTAAATTGGGTGTTAATTGGGTCTGAATTGGGGGAAAATGGGGTGTAAATTGGGTGTAAATTGCGTGTAAATTGGGTCTAAAAACTGGGTGTAGATTGGGTGTAAATTGGGTGTAAATTGGGTGTAAATTTGGTCTAAAATGGGGTGTCGATTGGGTGTAGATTAAGTGTAAATTGGGTGTAAATTTGGTGTAAAAACTGGGTGTAAATTGGGTGTAAATGGGGTGTAAATTGCGGGGGAAATTGGGTGTAAATTGGGTGTCAATTCGGTCTGAATTGGGGGAAAATGGGGTGTAAATGGGATGTAAATTGGGTCTAAAAATGGGGTGTAAATTGACTCTAAATTGGGTGTAAATTGGGTCTAAAAATGGGGTGTAAATTGACTCTAAATTGGGCCTAAATTGGGTGTAAATTGGGTCTAAATTGGGTGGAAATTGGGGTTAAATTTGGTGTAAAAAAAAGAGTCCAAATTGGGTGGAAATTGGGTGGAAATTGGGTCTAAAATGGACCTAAATTGGGTGTAAATTGGGTCTAAAATCGATAAATTGACCCAATTTTCGGCCAATTTTCGGCCGATTTCCACCCAATCCCCCCCGATTTCCACCCTTAAATTTCCCACCGTTAATTAACCCCCCCCAAAATTAACTCACCAGGGGCCCTGGCCACCCTCCTGGCCAGCGGGGAGGGCAGCTCGGCGTGGGCCACGGTGCAGCCGAAGACGGCCCCGCCCTCCCAGTCGGCGGTGCGGATGGGCAGCTCGCTGCGCGCCGTGAAGGTGCCGTTGGCCTGGGGGCTCAGCTTCAGGGGGAGGGGCTCCGGCGGGGTCCTGGCGACGTCATCGGCGCCGCCGCGCCGGGTCCAGGTGACGGCCAGGCCGTCGTCGCTCGGTAAGTTGGTGACCAGGCAGAGCAGGACGGGGGTTTGGGAGATGTAGAGGGAGGAGGGGGAGGGGGGGAGGAGG